ATGCGCTGGCGGTGCGGGCCGCAGACGGGCCCTGGCACCCGGGATCGGCCGGGCGCACCCCCCAGACCGCCGCCCTGGCCTCGACGTCTCGGAGCCGGAATGAGCCGCTCTTCATGGCGGCGGTGTTCCTGCTCGCGAGCGTGTGGGAGGGGCCCGGCTCGACCCCGGTGGTTGCTGGGGGGAGCCAGGGTGCCCCAGGACCCAGCGCCCCAAGCGCCGGCGCAACAGTTCCAGACCCGCGCCTGGCCGCGCGCGCGCTGCACTGCCTGGCGCTGCTCCAGCACACCGCCATGGCCCTGGCCCCCTATGCGGCCCTGGTTCGCGCCTGCGTGGAAAGCGCGGCCGGCGACGTGTGCGGCGCGGACGAGTTCCTGCGCCGGCTCCCGACGGACCCGGGTGTGCTGGGGAGCGCGGGGCTGGCGGAGGTGGGCACCGGAGCCCAGGCGCCCGGCGGCCTTGGATCCCTCTCCGCCCCCGCCGAGGCCGCCAGGCTGGCCTTCCTCCTCACCCTCCTGCCGGCGCTGCTCCCAGGAGCCACGCCGGGCGGCGAGGGGCCGGCGCGCGCTGCGGCGCTGACGGCGCGCTGTCTGGCGAGCCACGACCTCGGCCTGGTCCGCGCCGCGCTGGCCGCCACACCGGCGCTGTGGCCGGCGCTGCCGCCGAGGCCCCGGGAGGCCTGGGGCTGGCAGGCGCTGCAGCTGGGCCTGGCTGCCGTGTCGAGCGCGGTAGAGCCTGGGAATGACCAAGATTTCCGGCAGGTGAGGGGGCCGGGGTGGTGAAAACTGGAGATAGCTTGAGGCACTGGGCGCAGGGCGCCAGGCCTGGAGCGGGGCCCCTCCCTGCAGGCTCCGTGCTCCCATCACTCCATGGACGGGCCCGCTAAAGGGGCACGGCGCCACTTTCTTGGACTGGCGCACCCGGCTCCCACCGCGTTTGGTAATTTATCCTGGGTTTTAGATGAGCAGTGACGCCAACCCCTGCACACACGCAGATGGTGGTGACCCTGGTGGAGCACCTCGGCGCCGGCAGTCCAGCCGGGCCCCTGATGCTGGAGGCCGTGGCCACCGAGAGTGCTGCGCTGCTGGCGGACGAAAGGTGGGTGGGCCCTGGTCTGGTTCGTGTGGATGCCGCCTTCAGCACCACTCTCTGGGCCTGCCTTCTTCACAGCGTCTGGCCTAGCACCGTGCCAGCCAAACGTCTGGGTCGGCGGGGCCTCACCCACCATCACCAGAATTTTTAAAGCAAGATTCACCGTCCCAAACCACCCCAGGACGAGAAATGCGGGGCTCGAGCTGTACAGGACCCTGACGCTGTCCCTGCTGGTGTGTGCCCACCCCAGCTTCGAGTTCGGGCTGCGCAAATCGCGCGAGGTGCTCCGGAGCCTGTCCGTCACGACGCGCGAGGAGGGCCTTGCCATTCTGCGCGAAGCGGCGGGGGCGTGCGAGGATTCTACCCGCCGAATACGGCTGGTCAGGACATGCCAGGAGGCGGCAAGGGACCTGCATGGGGCGCTTCCAAAGACATCGGCTCTGTGAGGTCACGTGCTTGCTGGAGGTGAAGGCTCTCGACCTTGCGCGTTTTCTCCAGCTCCAAGCGCTGGCCCCCTCTCGTAAAATTTATAATGTTATTCCTCATTAAAAGTACATGTGAATAATTCCTATTGAGTATCGTGAACTTATATCAGATCTTTCGAGCTTAAAGGACCCCAGCTTCCCAGCTTCCGGGAGTTCCGGCAAGGGTTTGTGGGGGCGCCGCGCGCACAGATTCGCATCTCACACTGGTTTTGTGCCCCAGGTCGCACCCTAGCAGGAAGCCGCAGCTCGCGGCGCACGATGTGGCCTCAAGTAAACGAGATCACGCGATCCCCAGCAGAAAAAACAATCTTCAGATGAGTCGTAGTGACAACCACATCGATGTAGAGGCGCTACGTCCGGAAGGGACCGAAGGGTCGGGTCCCTTCGGCATTAACCAAGAGACCCTCAGCGCCCTGAACGAGGTGCGTCCGGGGATTTCAGAGCTCCATTGGTGCATGTTTCTCTTATTCATAATATGCAATAGGTGCGTGGCCTGCATGGTACCCAGGCTGTTGACCTCCCCGCCCTTAACCTCCCGTTCCTCTTCATGCTGGTAATTCCCCTCGCAGGATAAGTCGAGCGCGCTTGTGGCGCGCTATGGTGGCATCGCCGGCCTGGCGGTCGCCCTGGACACCAGCCTCACCGATGGGGTGGAGGTCGACGGCCCCTCCGGGATCGATGCGCGGAGGTCGACCTTCGGTGCCAACGTGCACAAGCAGCTCCCGCCCAAGGGCTTCTTCAAGCTCTGGTACAAGGCTTTAAAGGTGCGCAGACGCATTGCAGTTGCATCATGGCCCTTGATTGTGTGAATATTCGTACCAAAGGTCCCCCTGACTCTGTCTCACAATAAGGCGCCTCCCTTCCCTACTCTCCCCCACTCTCCCCAGAACCCGGTGCTGATCATCCTGACGGTTGCGGCCGTCATCTGCACCGTCATTGGCAGCGCAGTGGAGTCTGCGCGCAACAAGCACGCCTACGTGGAGGGCATCGCCATCGCGGCCTCGGTTTTCATTGTCTCCATCGTCGGCGCCCTCACCGACTGGCAGAAGGACCGGCAGATGCAGGTGCTGAACGCGCGCAAGTCGGTGATCGAGATCAAGGTCCTGCGCGGCGGGCACCAGTGCCTGTGCCTGAATACCGAGGTGGTGGTGGGCGACATCGTCCTCCTGCACACCGGGGACAAGCTGGTGGCGGACGGTTACTGTCTGGAGTCCAACGCGCTGGTCATCGATGAGGCCAGCCTGACGGGCGAGGCGGACCCAGTGCGCAAGGGCCCGGCCGACCCCTGGATCCGGTCGGGGACGCAGGTCAACGAAGGCTCTGGCTCCATGCTGGTGCTGGCAGTGGGCGAGGCCAGCGAGTGGGGCAAGACCATGGCCCTGGTGCAGACTAAGACGGGGAAGACGCCCCTCCAGGTGAGATGACACGGGGGATTGTGTCTCTTGTGTGTGTGTTTTGGGAGGCTGGGTGCATTGACAGGAGCGATGGGGAGACCTTTGAGTGCACAGGCAGGGAGTCGGCCCGGGGGGGGGGGGGGGATGAGTCGGATCTGGTTCAGGCTGGCGAGTGGTATCTGGAGAGCTTCTTGTTCGGCTGTCCCCCCAAATCCCTCTGCATTCAGATTGCCAGAGCAGGAGAAGCTTATAGTCACGCATCAGAATCACATTTCTCATTCCCTGAATATGAATCTTCTCCTCAAACAATCATAAACTTGCAGGAGAAGTTGGACCTGCTGGTGATTGCCATCGGCAAGCTGGGCGTCATCATCTCCCTGGTCTGCTTCCTGGTGCTCATGATTCGCTGGATCGTGGATAACGGCGGCTTCCCCCTGGACCTGTTCGCCGAGGGCCCGCTGGAGTACTTCATCATCGCCGTCACCATCATCGTGGTCACGGTGCCGGAGGGCCTGCCCCTGGCGGTCACCATCGCGCTGGCCTCCACCATGAAGGCCATGCTCAAGGACCACAACTTCGTGCGCGTGCTGTCGGCCTGCGAGACCATGGGCGGCGCCACCACCATCTGCTCCGACAAGACCGGGACGCTGACTGAGAACCGCATGACCGTGGTCGACGGCTGGTTCGCGGGGGCTGCGACCAAGGGCCTGCCGGACTGGGCCGACCTGCCGCAGCCGCTGGCCGAGGCGGTGACCGAGAACGTGGCGGTCAACTCCAGCGCCTACCTGGTGGAGAGCGAGCACGGCGGCGTGGACTTCGTGGGCAACCGCACCGAGTGCGCGCTGCTCATGCTCCTGCGCGGCTGGGGCCAGGACTACCGACGCAAGCGTGAGGCCCTGGCCGCGCAGCTGGTCACCGTCTACGACTTCACCTCCGCGCGCAAGATGTCCAGCGCGCTGGTTCGGCGCGAGGGCGCGGGTCTCACACTGCTGTGCAAGGGCGCGGCGGAGATCGTGGTGGGGCGCTGCACGCGCTACGCGGGCGCGGGCGGTGCGGTGGAGGACCTGGGCGAGGGCCTGCGGCAAGAGCTGCTGCAGCTGGTCACCAGCATGGCCTCCCGCGGCCTGCGCACGCTCTGCCTGGCTATGAGGGGTGAGGCGAGGCTTGTGGTGATTTCTCTTTGGTCCTTTTGGGAGGGGAGATTGGAGTCGGGAGGGCGTCATCTGGAGCCAGGAGGGGGAGTGATGTGCAAGGCCCTCGTTGCTCGCTCGTGTGCGCCGACTCATCAACCTCCCCCTCACTTGCCACACCTCCCAGACATGGACATGCCGGAGGGGGGCGCACGGAAGGACAGCTTCGAAGAGCCGCCCGAGACCGACCTGACCCTGCTGTGCATCGTGGGCATCAAGGACCCTGTGCGCCAGGAGGTCCCCGAGGCGGTGGCCACCTGCCAGCGCGCCGGCATCGTGGTGCGGATGGTGACGGGCGACAACATCCACACCGCCTGTCACATCGCGCGGGAGTGCGGCATCCTGACCCCGGACGGCGTCGCCATGGAGGGGCCAGAGTTCAGGAACATGGACGAGGCCAAGCTGCGGGCCCTGCTGCCCAAGCTACAGGTGAGTGGTGGAAAGGAGCACTGTATTTTATGGAGGCCTTGATATGGGGTGTTGGGTTAGATACCTGAATGTCTTGTCTGGCTGTCCATCAGCCTGTTCCAGGAGCTCGAGGCGATGAGGATTGCACACCCTATGCAGGTGCTGGCACGTTCCTCGCCCACCGACAAACACACCCTAGTGCACAACCTGAAGCTGCTGGGGGAGGTGGTGGCGGTCACTGGGGATGGCACCAACGACGCCCCCGCCCTCAAGGAGTCGGATGTTGGACTGGCCATGGGCATAGCAGGTGGGCTGGCACTGCGTCAAAGAAGGATCCTCCCGGACGTCGAAGGTTTTGCCTGTCCGGGCGGGGCAGCGTATGGGACCTGCTTGGCTTGTGTCACCGCCGTGCATGCCTGCAAGCCTTACTGAGCATGGGCACTCGTTCCCATCAAGGCTGCCCCCCCGCCACCCATTTTTCTTTCCACCTCTCCAGGCACGGAGGTGGCCAAGGACGCCGCCGACATCGTCATTTTGGACGACAACTTCTCCTCCATCGTCAAGGCGGTGTTGTGGGGCAGGAACGTGTTTGCCAACATCCGCAAGTTCCTCCAGTTCCAGCTCACCATCAGCCTGGTGGCCCTCATTGTCACCTTCATCGCCGCGGTCTCCACGGGAACACTGGCCCTGAACGTGCTGCAGCTGCTGTGGGTGAACCTGATCATGAACTCCTTTGCCGCCCTCGGTGAGCTGTGTGTGGGTTGGGGTGGTGGGCCCAGGGGGTGTTGAGGGGTGTTGGGGTGTTGGGGGGGCCAGGTCATGCTCAGGAACTTGTGCAGGGTGGGAGCTTGCGAGTCAAGCTGAAGTGCTCTCAACCAGGCCTCACGTCAGCCAGCCCATTCCCCAGTCCCTGAGCATTACCGTAGATTACCCTCCACCACACACTCACCCCTCCTCACCTCCCCCCCCCCCCCCCCCCCCCCCTGCTGGGCGGGCGGAGGGCGGCGGCCGCAGAGGTGGGCG